TTTTGGAAGAAGTGCAGCCAGAGTGCTCCTTGGAGGCCAAGATGGCCAAACTTCGTCTCTCATACTTCGGACATATTGTCAGGAGGGACCAGTCACTAGAGAAGGATATCATGTTTGGTAAGGTGGAGGGTCAGAGAAAAAGAGGAAGACCCCCAACGAGATGGATTGACCAGGTGGAGGCATTGATGGACTCAAGCATGGCAACAGTAGTGAGGTTGGCCCAGGATCGGGCAGTGTTTCAGTTTGCTGTGCATGAGGTCACTATGAGTCAGTGCTGACTCCATGGCATCTAACAGCAACAACAATGGGTTTTGGGTGGGGGGGCATTGCTTCACCAGTGGGAAGACTCCTTCCTGCATAGGATCTTTTGAGCCTCTGCTGCTGGACCCTTCCAGGCCTTAAGGCTGCAGCTCTCTGCATAGCCACTGCATGTGTCTTCAGGCGGCTGAGAGGAGGCCTGCCTGGCCTAGAGGAGCTGAGAGAGCTGTTCTGCACTGAACAAGGGAGACTTTGCCTACATGATTTCTGACCCTGACTCTTGAGTTGTAACCTGTTGCCACCCTTATAAACCTCATAACTGTGAGTATGGTCTCTCTATTGTGTGTGGTCACTACAGGGAATTATTAAAGCCAGCAGAGAAGTAGAGAGTGCTGTAGGAGGGAGGGCTGGGGTCAGAATTAGTAAAAAAGATTGGAGGAGAGACCTTCATCTCATAAGAATCAGGCTTGGACTAATGGGGATACTGAAGGTGATTTTCTCCACTTGTGAAGTTAGAGGAGGTCCGGTGCCACTGCTTCACATGACGACAAAACCATTGCACTGCTGTAGGTGAAGAGTTCTTTCCTTAGATGCTGTTATTCTTGTGTTTTTGTTAGTAATAGTAATAGCAGTCATCATTTATAGCGATCACATATCAGACACTGTGCTAAATGCCTTGTATCCTTTCTCTCATTTTTGCAGGAATACTGAATCAGGCATTGTTGTTGCTAAGTGCTGTTCATTCAGTCAATTCCGACTCATAGAGACCCTGTGTAGGATTCCCAAGGAGCGACTGGGGGATTTAAGTCACAGACCTTGTGGATAGCAGTCCTGTGCGTATCCTACAAGCCCAAACTAAGACAGGCAGTAGCAACCCTGTTTTAAAGACTAAACTGTGTGGTGGTTTAGTCAGTGACCTGTATCAGTGACAGGTGCTTTCAGTCAATGAAAATGAGTTTACTGGGTACAGGAATAAGACATTGGGACCTGGTTGGGAGCTGGGGTGAGCTGAGTCGCACCTACTTCATGTGCTGGAGGCAGCGGAACTCAGCTCCTGCTGACTATGGACATGTGGGACTGTAGTGTAGTGTGACTTCAGCTCATAATTTCCCCAAAAGTAACCTGTAGCATAAAATTTTGTGGATATTGATAAGCATTGGAATGCGAAGCACAGGGTCCACAGTTTGAGCTGCTAGCTGCTCTGTGAAAAAAAGATGAGGCTTTCTGCTCCCACAAATATTTTTTTAAAGCCTCAGAAACCCTATACGGAGTTGCTATGAGCGGGAACCGACTCGACGACACCTTAATTTATAAATGTTGGCCAGTAATTTATAGATATGCTTAAAGCACTGTGTAGGGCAAGCAGGCATATCTGAGAGTCATACTCAGTCAACAAGGTATGTCACCCTGGTTTAAGAGACCGTGTAGTCAGTCGACTGGCATCAGAGTACCCACTGGAGATCATTATGAATCAGGACCAACGCAATGGCATTTAACAACAACATTCCAGGCAGATGGAACAACAGGGACAAAGATCCAGGGACATGAGGGAGCTAGTGAGTTCCAGAAAATAAAAGAAAGCCAGTTTGGCTAGAATGGGAATGAGATGTGGCTCATGCCTAGCCTCACAGGCCTTGAGGGATAGTCAGGCTAGGCTAGGCTGCAATTACAGATAAACCCCAAATCTCAGTGGCCTAACACTATACAGTTTCATTTCTTGCTTGTGTAAAGTCTGACGTGGGTCTCACAGCGCCTCTCTTTAATGTAGCTCTCAAAGGGGCTCCAGGATCTCCAGAGGAGATCCCTAGTCTTAACTACCTACGCCTGGGAATAAGCCTTCTTTTCATAAACCACTCAACTGGAGGTTGGGAAGGCGGGTGGATTCCATGGATTTCTGTGACCCCAAGTGTCTCTGTCACATGTCTTCAGGTTAGGACTTGATCCTCAGAGCAGTGGGAAGCCAGCTAGGGTTTTCACACAGTAGTAAACAAGACTAGACTTGTGTTGTAAAAAGAGCCCTCTGGCTGTATGTAGCGGTAGTTGGCCCTGAGCCCTGAGTTGTAGCATCTCATCTCGGGAAGTGCGAGAAGTGGCCAGTGTGGGAACCAGCCACAGCAGAGTCACAGCATAGCTGCAGTTCACTCCAATGGCCACCTTTTAGGTTCAGTGCCCCATCCCCCAATAAAGGGAGAATGTGAGAAAAAATAGAGTTGTGTAAATTCATTAATTAAAAATAAACACCTATATAAATGCATTGTGCCTGACCTTCTTTGTTCCAGATTGCAGATTGTCCGTATTCAACACATATATTTCTATACAGCTCGAACTCCCAAAGCTCAGGACAATGTGTGCTAGGCCTTGTATGGGGTTTCTAGGGGTAACTGAGCCCCTGACTGGCCTGAGAACCTTGTTGCTATGGAAGATGCTCACTACCTGGTCTGTAACCAAGATTCAATAGTAACAGGGGACATCCTTGTGTCGGGGGACTCCCTATTTCAAACAGCCCGATGCGCTGCTTAGGTCAGAAACACTCTTGGGTGAAATATTCTGTGCTGAAGTTGACCGCTGGCTGTTCAGAGTTTTCTACAGTTTACCACTTGTTTTCTAAACCATTGTCTCATTTGAGTCTCACAATAATTTAATTAGACTGGAAATTACTTTCAACCAAGGAACTAAAACTTAAGCGATACAGTGGTCTACAGCAGCAGCCAGGAGCCCTGGAAACAATTCAATTGGAAGTGCTGGCTTTGCAGCCACTTTTTAACCATGCAATTTCAGTGTTTTGGGGCGTGTTGTTGTTAAGTGCCATCTGGTGGGTTCTGACTCATAGCGACCCTGTATAGGGTTTCCGAGGAGAGTCTGATGGGTTTGTACAACTTCAGAAGCCTCATGGACCTTGTGGTTAGCACTCCAGTGCCTTGTTCTTAGATACAAAGTATGGATAACTGCACAAAGCTACTTTGAAGCTCCAATGAAGCAACGTTGATAAAAGCATTTTACAAACTGTGAAGTACTGTCCAGAGTTCTGTTATGCTCAGACTTGACATGTCATTGAACGTGTTTGAGTGGTGCTCAAGGAATCCATGTAGAGGAGTGCAGGAGACTATGTTAACCTATGCCTTCTGTAGTTATGTCTTAGGGCTGCACTTAACACTATTTAACTGTGAACTTAATTGTCTGAATCACTGATTGCTTAGGCAACTTCCCTGTCATCTCTTGTGGGCCATATCATTGGATGCCATTTCTCTGGGTGGGCAAGGACAGGAGGTGGAGGTGGGCTGGGTGGTTTGTTGAGGACTTCCCCACAAGCCTTACAGCTAGATTTCAGGGCAGTGACAGAATGAAGGTTTTATGGAGATATGTGAAATCCAGGTATGGGATCTAGCTTCAAAAGGTAAAGAGGTAAAGTACGCCCTGAATGAACCAGAGCACTGTTCACTCTGGGATGGGTGACCCAGCTCTAGTAGTGTTGCTGCCTTGAGGGACTGCAGACAATGTGGCCAAATCTGATTGTTCTAGAAAGCCTGTGGACTAGATTAAAAAAATACATGATTACGAAAATTTTCATCCTCACCGTAATTCCACTAGCCAGGTAGCTGGATTAGAGGAGAGTTGGCTGTGTGACCACGGCTGTAGCCAGATGAGAGAACAGAATGCTCCTTTGCACAGAGCCTGGCTACGGGAACCTATAGGAAACGTCAAAACTTAAAACTTGCGTTCTGATGCTACTTTGTGAACCCCTAGGCTTCTGAGGTTGTAACCGTGTTGGACCTAGATCCAAATGATTAAAAGGAATCATGGGATTACACAGACCGACCTTTCAAGCCTGGTAGTCAAGATGATGATGTTAAATCGAGTAGGTGGGATTTTGGTTTTTGTGTGTATTAGAAAAAGATAACTAACCCCTTCCCCCAAACTTATTTTTTCACCAGGGTGATTATGCTTTCGTTAAAACAAATTTTAGCAAAAATGAATTAAAGAAAAGATTGAAGCAAACAAGTTTTGCTGGGCGAGTCAGGTTTGGCGAACACAGTAGTCCAAGGTTTTTCCCTGTCATTGGCGCCAGCCGCCCCAACCTCCCCACCCCCATTACAGTGGGGAGAAAAGGAAAAAGGGTGGGAGTGGGGGCAGTGAAGAACACCAAGGCCAAGGGTGAGGCCGGATCGATATGCCCACGAGCCGAATCTCGGGAGCCCGGATTCTGGGTCCCGGTTCTGCCTCTTCTAGCAGGGCGACCTTGGGCTGCGAGTCGAATTCCTCGCGCCGTTCCCTCTTTCGGGCAGTGAGGTGGTCGAGGCTGCCAGTCCTAAGACGAGACACTCGGGAACCAGACTGCGGCCACAGGGTTGCAAGGTCCGTTCAGGATTTCTTCGCTGGACTCTGGCTGCTGGCCGCCCGGAATGCACCTTCATCCCTCCAGGCCTCCGGAACCCTCAGCAGGGCCCCAAACTCGCGCGGGTTCTAAGATGAGGACTAAGCCCGCCCAGATCTAGAGCGCGCGCGCCGTCGCGGCCAATGGGGTGCCAGGATAAAGTTGAGTGACGGAAAGGTTTAGCCAATGAGCATGTCCTTTGTTGGGGTTTGGGTTCGGGTTTGGGGGTCTCGCTGGGGGCCGGGGTGGGTCTTGTCTGGCGGTGGGGGTGCGGGGTTGGCGGGGGGGCTGTGCGTCTGTTGTTCTGTGCTGCGGGGGGGGGCGGGGCTGTGGGCCGGGGGTTGTTGGCGGCGGCGGCCTCGTGTTCGTTGCGTGGCCCGTGGGGCTTTTGGGGTCGCGTGTGATCTTTCGGGCGTCGCTTGTTGGTCGCTTCGCTTTGCGTTGTGCGGGTTTTGGGCCTGCGGGCGTGTGGGGGTTGCGGTTGTTGTGGCTTTTGTCGGGGGTGCTTGGGGGTGTTGTTTTGTGTTGCTGCTGGTTTGTGGGGGTGTCGCTTGCCTTGTTGTTTGTGTGGTAGTCGGGTTAGGTGTAGGGGCTTGAGACGTTTGTGTGGACCGGTCCCGGTTTTGATTTTTCCCCCGGTTTCTGCTCTCCTGCGGGTTCTGGTCTTGCCGCTGTTACGGCTGGCTTAGGTGTTTGTGGTGCTGCTGGTTTTTCTTTGTCGTTCTTTTAGTTTTTTTGGGGCCGGTGGTGCCTAGATTCATTTCGTTTGTCTTGTTTTGGCCGGTGGGAAAATGTTTGTTGGTGGCCTAAGCTGGGATACCAGCTAAAAGGCCCTAAAAGACTATTTTACCAAATTTGGAGAGGTCGTTGACTGTACGATTAAGATGGATCCCAACACTGGAAGGTCAAGAGGGTTTGGGTTTATCCTCTT